CCCAATCCCGCCTGCCGTCTTTGCACGTGGTGGTGACGGGTTGGGACGCCAGCCGGGACTCGAAGCGCTCCTCGCCCAGCAACGTGTTGCCGGTGGCGCTGCGCCCCGCGGGGGGGAATCGCCGCTCCCGTCTCCGCGGCGCGGTCCGCCATGGGCGCGGAGCTGCGGCCGCCTCGGTTCTGCTCCCTCCCACCCGGCGGACGGCCGCGCTCTGCGGGACGGGGACCGCCTGTGGGCGGGGATGGGCGGCCGCGGAGCCCCTGGGGCGGAGCTGCGGTCCCCGGTGTCGGTGCGGGGAAGCGCGGAGCCGGGGCGGCGGGGAGGAGGGGAGGAGGGCGACACGGGGACGAGGAGATATGGGGACATTGGGACACTGGGACAGTGGGTGTCAGGGACATGGGGACGCAGGGATTTTGGGACTTTGGGACTTCAGATCACATGGGCTGCTGACACAGGGACATCGGTAATGTGAATATTGGGACCATCAGGACACAGTGGCACGGGTAGCTCAGGCCACCGAGCGACGACGATGCCGGGACCTCAGAGATCGGGGGCTGCTGGCACTGCAGAGGGCTGAAAGAAACCGGCGTGAGAGGTGCGGGCTGCAAACGAGACGCTCCGGAGCAAACCGCGTTCTCCGGCAGCTGCCCTCCGGCTCCGGCTGAGCCCGGCGCTGCCCGTCGCCCCTTCGGGAGCTCGGAGGTCGCAGCGGCACCGCAGAGCCCGCTCGTGTCCGGGCCGGGCGGGGGCAGAGCAGCTGCGCCACCCGACGGGGCTGCGCGTCCCCCCCGTGCTCAGCGCTGCCTGCGGAGCTCCGCACAGCGCGCGGGTCGCGAACGCCCTCTGGAGCACCGAGCGCGTTCCTTCTGCCACCCCTTTTCCTGGGGGAGAACGGCGAAACGAGCCAAACCTGACGGAAGCCGATGGAGGCGGAAGCGGCTCCGGCTCTCCTCGGCCGGGACGGGCGCAGCCCGAGGGGGGACGGCAGCTCCTGGGCACCGGCCCGGCTCTGGAGACGGCGGAGGGCTCCGTGGCCGTGTGCCGCTCACCCCGGTGTCGGAGCCGGCCGAGCCGCGCGACTCTCCCCGAGCTCTTAGCAAGACGGAGACGCGGCGTTTTCCAGGCGTTCATTAATTTAATTAATACACAGCGGCAGTGCCTGCATTTCCACACACACAGCGGCAGGGGGACACGCGGGCGGACGCGGGGCGGGGATCGCTCGGCGCGGGTGTTCGCAGGGGGCTTCGCCGTGCGCGGGGTCGCGGGCACGGGGCGGGGAGCGGCGGGACGGGGGGAGGAGGAGCAGCTCCCTCGGGGGTCGGGAGGAGCCGTCACCGGGAGCTGCGGCCGGGCCGGGTGTCAGCTCCCCCCGCAGCCGCGTCCCGACGCACCGCATCACCCCGCGGGGCGGCGCGGAGCCGTGTGAGCAGCGTCGGCAGAGGGAAGCGTCGGCAGGGAAAGCTGGTTTTCCCCTGCAAGCGGCGGGGCAGCAGCGGTGCGGGCGAGGGGCGCGCAGCCTGGATGCAGCCGTGAGTTCGCCTCATCCCGGCTCACCGAGCGCCGTCCCGGTTCAGAGTGCAGGACGGCGCGCACGGATGGAAGCCCAGCGGATGGCGGCCGCCGTCCCGCAGTGGCAGCCAGGAGCGCTCCCAGAACGCTGCGGCTTACACGGAGCGGTGGGCACAGAAGTGATGCGGGATTTGCACCGTCCCACGTGCAGCGGGGCTGCGGTGCCGCCTCTTCCCCTTCCCCGGTGCTTGGGGACCGCAGAGCGGGACAAGGGGCAGAGATGTCCACCCCAACCCTCGCTTCTCCTGGCCGTGGCTGAGCACAGGCACGTTTTCAGCCCGCCGGGAGCCCGCAGTGCTCCCGTCACCACGCACCCATTCCTGGTTGCACCGCCCAGGCCGGGCTCTCTGCTGCTCCGGCCGCAGCCCACGCCTCGCCGCAGTCCCTCCTCCAGGCTGGAGCTGCCGCTGCCCTTGGGAAGCAGTCTGCACCTGTGAGCTTTGCGGGTTTGTTTTAATTTTGCACGATTTCTCTGTTTCAGGGCGCTCTGCAACGCTGCAGCAGCACCAGCCCGGATGGGGGATGGGAGGTACGGGGGGAATGGGGAGCACGGGGGCACGGAGTGCACACAGCAGTGCTGAGGGGAACCCCCCCCCCTGCTGCTCCTCGCTCAGGGGTTCCACCTGTGGCCCCGCTGTGCACCCGGCTGCAGTGCTGAGGTGCTGGGAGTGGAGGGGAGGAAACCCCCCGGGGAACTCTGCCATTTCCAGAGGCGGCCGCCTCACTCAGCTCCTCCCAGTGCCCCGGGGGGTGGCAGAAACCCAACAGGCGCCCAACAGCCCGGGAGCGCCTGAGGTGAGGAGCAGGAGCAGCTGATGGGAGAGACCTCGTGGTGATCAGGAGAGCAGCTCCGTGCAGGGAGCACGGCGGGTGCCTGGGGGGGCTCAGGCAGAGCTGGCACTGACCACGCCGTCACAACAGCACCGAGGGGACGGCGCCCACTGAGACGCCCAGCGGCCCCGAGCCCCCGTGCAGCGCTTGGAGCCACAGAGCAATGCTGGGGGGGCTCAGGGCACGGAGAGCCCCATGGGGCAGCCATGGGCGGGGGTCCCGGGGCGCGGGGGCTCACGTGAGGGCGTTCTCGGCCCTGTGGGTGCGCTGGTGGAGCTTCAGGGAGCCCTTCTGGCTGAAGCTCTTCCCGCACTCGGCGCAGGCGAAGGGCCGCTCGCCGCTGTGGATGCGCTGGTGTGCGGCCAGGCTGCTCCGGCAGCTGAAGCCCTTCCCGCAGCGGGTGCAGGAGAAGGGGCCGCCTGCTGCCGTGGGACCACCGGCTTCCTCATGCGGCTCCGAGCCCGGCGAGCGGCTGCAGGCGGCGGCGCTGGTGGCCCCGGGTTGGTCCTCGGCGTGGGTGCGTTGGTGGTTGAGGAGGAAGCGCTGCTCGCGGAAGCGCTTCCCGCAGCTCCCGCAGGAGAAGGGCTTCTCGCCGCTGTGGATGCGCTGGTGGGTGAGCAGGTTCTGCTTCAGGCTGAAGCTCTTCTGGCAGACGTCGCACTGGTAGGGCCGCTCCCCGGTGTGGATGCGCTGGTGGATGATGAGGTTGTGCTTGAGGCTGAAGGCCTTGCCGCACTCGGCGCAGATGAAGGCGCGCTCCCCGGCGTGGTGCTTCTGGTGCCGGGCGAGGCTGGGCTGCTGGCCGAAGCACTCCCCGCACAGGATGCACTTGAACTCCTTCCCCGGTGCCTCCTCCTCCGCCTGGCTGTGGATCACCAACGCCTTCTCATCCCCAAAGCCCTCCTCGCCGCCGCCGGGAAAGGCGAAGCTGTTCTCGCCCGCGGGCGATGCCAGGTCTGTCATGGGCGCACGATGCCCGGCTCACGGCGCCCGCATCCCTGGGGGGCACAGAGAGGGGCGGCTGCAGCTCCCAGCCGTAACCCGTGGGGGTCCAACGACACCCAGCACTCCCCGTGCTGCCGCTCCGGGGCCGGATGCCCTCATGGTGGGTGCATTCCCCCCTGCTAAGCTTCACAACCACACCTGACCGTGGGGGGCAAGAGGGGACCCGGGGCCGGGGCCGTTCTACGGCGTCATCCCACCGGGGAGCAGCGCTGGGGCTGCAGGCTCGGGGAGGGGGAGGGGGGCGCGGCGCGATCTCGGCGGATGGGCACGGGATGGGGTCCGGGTGGGGTCGAGATGGTCCGGATGGGGCTGCGACAGAGCCGGGATGGGGCCGGGCCGCGCCGCATTGCGCTTCGGCTCCGCGCTGCCGCACCGCCCCCCCGGGCCGAGCCGAACCGAGCCGTTCCCCACACCCCCCCCCCCGGGCCTCCCCTACCTGCTCCCAACGCTGCGCTCCGGGCCCGGCTCTCTCCGTGCGCTCCGTGTGCTCGCTGCGCATCCCCCGCCCCGCGCGTGACCGCGGCGCTCCCTACGCTCGGGGCCGGGCCGGGCCCTGCGCGGTGCCGCCCCCAATTCGCGATCCCCCCCTCCTTCCCTCCGCCCCCCGCCTCCCGCCGCCGTGCCTCCCGGTGCCGACCTGCCCCGCTCCGCGCTTTGTGCCGCCCGCTCCGGCCCCCGGCTCGTTCCTCCGCCCGCGCTCCCGGCCCCGCGGCCGCGGTCACGCGTGGGCTCAGCGCCCGCCCCGCAGCCTCGGCCCCAGCGGAGGGAGGGACCCCCCCCCCCCCGGCGGGATCGGGTCGGGCAGAACCGATCCACCCACGAGTGGAATTTCTGCTCTTTTGCAAAGGGAAACCCCGAGCGGGTGGAAAACAAAGGGGTTTCCACGCTGCAGCCCGCGCTGCTGGGCCGGGAACAAAGGGTTCTGGGGAGGTTCTGCGGGTTCTGCCGGGAGCTGCAGTCCGGGCCGAGGGGCTCTGCCGGCAGCCTGCGGTGCACGGAGCTCCCTAAACCCCCCTCCCCCGCTCACCCCCGAGGGCGCAGCCCCCCGCCGCAGCTCCTGGCACTGATTTTGGCAGCGCCGGTCGGCACCGGAGGACGGTGGCACATGGCAGAGGTGCTGCCGAGCATTGGGGTGCACGGGGGGAGCAAAATGGAGATCCCACGCGGCAGTGGGAAGGGCCCTAATTTGGTTGGAAAGACACGAGGTTGCAGCAGGGCTCACCAGAGCAGCCAAGGCCACGAGCAAAGCTCAGCGCTCGGGGTCCCGTGTAGGACGGGCGCTGCTGGGATCAGGCCTCAGGCGCCCGGTGCAAGCAGGCTGTGGCTTGCCAGCACTGCTGCACCCCGCACAGCTTCCTGTTGTGCCGTTGCCCAGACCTGCCTGGCCATGCATGCCTGCGTTCCTGGAGCAGCTGCTGACGCTTCCCCAACGCGGCGGCAGGACGAGCCTTTGTGCCACCAGCGTGCTGAGTTGGCTGCTTTGCTGCCGAGGGGATGGAAACAGGAACTCGGCTCCAAGGATCTCAGGCTCGCAGCAGGAGCCTGGGAGCTGGGGCACAACGAGGGACACGTCGGGTTGCATATTAGGAAAGGTTCAAGTTGGATACTGGGAAGGATTTCTTCTCCAAAGAGCAGCTGGAACTGGCACAGCTGCCCTGGGGGAGGGGGGGTCACTGTCCCTAGGGGTGTTCAAGGACCCTGGGGATGTGGCATGGAGAATGTGCTCGGTAGGTATGGTGGGGGTGGGGGGTTAGACTTTCATAAGTCTTTCCCAACCCCCCTTTTTCTATGACCCCCCCCTCCCAGTGGGATTGTGACCACAGCCAGACGGCTGGCAGCTCAGGGAAGGCTGAGGATAGTGGGGATACGGAGCACAGCCCAGTTGCCTTCTGCCTGTTGGTGGGAGGTGGAGCAGCAGGATGGGACGGGAAGGAGCAGCGTGGGACAGGACAGGGCCTGCACGTCTCCACGCACCCAACGAGCAGCATTCCAGCAGCTCCGCGCCCCAGGATCCCATCCCAGCCACCCAGCAGGGACCGCAGCCAACAGAATGGGAAGGAGAGCAAAGGCCCACGGCGCTCACAGGGCTGCAGTGGCAGGGAAGGGCCTGCCTTGATGCACAACTAACGGCAGTGACAGCGCTGGGGGGGTGTCGACTCTTGGTGGGGAATGAAGGGGAGGACAAAGCGCAGCTCCAGGAGGGGCAGCCCCAGCTCAGCTGGTGGCAAGAGTCATGGCTTTAAAAAGCACCACAATTCGATGCAGCTTTACTGACGATCTGCTGCCTTCACCCCTTCGCTGTGTGAGACTTTTGCTAAGAGATGCAAAAGCCAAGGCCTCTGCAGGCAGATCTGCCAGCAACACGGTTATAAAGCGCACCAACACGGATGGGCGAGTGGCTCCCACCCCAACGGCAGGGGCAGAGTGCTGTCCCACGAAGGAGGAGGCAGGAAGCTGCTGTGAGTAAGCTTTTATTTTAAATAACCTCAAAAAAATAGAGTTGCAAGGACCTGAAACGTCGCTGGAGCGTGATGCTGGGTGAGCGGGGCTGAGCGCTGCAGGGAGCAATGCCCACTCCCTGCCTGGGGATGGAGCCAGGGACCCCACGGCAGGATGCCACCATCCCTCGCGTGGCCGTGCCACCAGCCGGGCACTCTGCTAACAGAAAACATCCTTACCCAGCACGCAGGTCCAGCGGGGCCGTCCCGGTGTGCCCTCCTGGCCGCTCCAAGTCCTGGGGCTGAGCAGCTCTGGTTATGGCCTGCTCCATCCCTGCCCATCAGGGCCACCGCGCCGCTGCGCCAGGCTGCGTCCCTCTGGGTGTTGGACATCTCCAGGAACGGAGACCCCACCTCTGTGCTGGGCAGCCGGCGAGGCGATTGCTCACTGCACAGCAAGCAGCCTCCCTCACACTGTGCCCCCGCAACACAGGGGAGGAGGCGGCAGGCAGAGCGCACCCAGGATCGCGCCGGGCACCGCTGGCAGCACCCGCATGTCCTCAGCGAAGGTCTTTGCCAAACCACGGTAGCAAGGAGGCTCTGCAGCTGAGCGAAGCGATAGGGGCGTGCTGCTAGGGCTGGGGCTGCACAGCTCACAGCGCGAGGGGAGCAGTGGCAAGCCGGGCCCTCTGGACACAGCAGGCGAGATTTGCTTCCCCTTTTATGCAAAGCGCGTTTCCAAGCGGGAACAGCTTCCAGGCCAGCAGCTCCCATCCCTAAAGCTCTGCCCCACAGCCCTGCCCCAGCCAGACAGCTCCACACTGCTCGCCCACCAGCACGGGCGCAGCTGTGGGCAGTGCAGACACCGCTGCCCGGCACTCCTGGTTATCTATGCAGAAGTTAGGTGAGTACCAGAAAGAGGCGCTACTCAGAAAGGTTATCCATAGAGCAAGTACAGAAGCGGAAGCTACATTCCCCATCCCCACCCCCCATATTCACCCTGTATTACCCCTCCCGGCTCGGAGGAGATACTTAGCTGTGATCCTCCAGGGTCCTCGAGGCAGGAAGCTGCCCTCTGCAGCTCGCTCATCCCCCAGCGAAGCTGCTCCTCTGCCCACACTGGTGGGCAGCCAATAGCGGGGCACAGCTCTCCGGCCCTCAGCCTTTTTGTGGAGGGACATCAGTCTGGATGCTGAGGGCAGAGGGCTCTGGCGGAAGCTCCCAGCCCACCAAGGCCCCTCTGTGCCCCACGCCAGGTCTGCATGTTGCAGGACTGCAACGCTCAGCCTGGAGCCAGGCCCCAGCAGACATGCCTCTGCCCGGCCTCCTGCACGGCAGAAGCGATCCTTAAGTCAGCATGCAGGATCCCGAGCTCCTCCCCACCCCGCGCAATCCAACTCTTCACAGGCAGGTGCTGGCAGAAGCGCTGCAGACCCATGATCCGGCACCTGCTGCTCCTCAGCTCCACCCGCCTTACAATTTGGTATGTTCAAAACACAGAAAGCTCACGCGTTGTGTCCAAGTCCATCCACTGCCTCGTGACCAACCTGCTGCATCTCACACCCCCACCTCCAGGGTGCTTCACTCGCAAGTGTCCTGTTCACAAGAACCACCACAGTCCTCCCGAGCCCCGCAGGCTGGGACTCACAGCCTGCCCTGCCTCAGACTCTTACAGGTCCGCAGTTGGTCAGCAGTTGGCTCTTGGCACGAGCTCCCACCGAGCCAGGTTTGGTGTCCCTGCCGCAAGAGCAACAAGGTGCGGTCCCTCGCTTGGGTGGGCGCGTGGCAGCGGGCGCGTTACAAGCAGCTCGGGCACGGCGAGGTTTTCTCTTCGCTGTGCGCTCTCTCAGGCACTCTCAGGACTCTCTTGTCCTCAAAGCTTCTTCCACAGCCGCCGTACTTGCACCAGATCTCAGCGCGGCAGTCATGCTGGGGCTTCAGCAGCAGCTGCCTCTGGGTCACGCAGTCGGCGCAGCAGCACTGCGGCTGCAGGCTGGGCTTCCCACCCAACCCTTCCCCGCCCTCGGAGCACTTGCAGGGGCACTGCCCAGCGGGCGCCTCCTGTGGGTGCTGCGAGCCAGACACCAGGTGCTGCTCTTCCTGCATCAGCTGCAGAAGGATGTCTGCGGCCCCGGATGGGCTCTCTGCTCTGTTTGGGCCGGGCTGCGCTCCCGGCCGCAGCTCTTCCCGCGGCAGCGATCCCTGCACGGCTCCACGGGAGCAGGGCGGCAGCAGCGCGCCAGGCGGCGCGGGTCCCTTCCCCAGGGCAGCGCTGGCGTCCGGCTCGTCGCGGTGTGCCGGGCAGGTCCCCTCGCAGCAGGAGGGCGGCACACCACCGGTGTGCGTCCGGCGGTGCCGGAGGAGGTGAGCCTTCTGGCTGAAGCCCTTCCCGCACTCGGCACAGTGGAAGGGCCGCTCCCCGGTGTGGGTCCTCTGGTGCACAGCCAGGTTCACCTTCTGCCGGAAGCGCTTGCCGCACTCGGCGCAGGCGTGCGGCCGCTCGCCAGCGTGGCCCTGCCGGTGCAGCTGCAGCTCGCCGTGCTCCTCAAAGGACTCCCCGCAGAGCGAGCAGGGGTACGGGCTGCCGGGGTGGCTCTGCAGGCTGGGCGGTGTCTGGCCGGGGCCCGGCTCGCTCTGGGGCCGCTCCACCACGTGCACGCGCTGGTGGACCCGGAGGGAGAGCTTGCTCTTGAAGCGCTTGGGGCACTCCAGGCAAGTGAAGGGCTGCCTGCCCGAGTGGGTCTTCTGGTGGGCGATGAGGTTGGGCTTCTGAGCGAAGCGCTTGCCGCACTGGGTGCAGGCGAAGGGGCGCTCGCCGGTGTGCGTGCGGTAATGCGTCACCAGGTTGCCCTTCTGGTTGAAGCGGCGGCCGCAGACGCCGCAGGTGAAGGGCCGCTCGCCGGTGTGGATGCGCTGGTGAGTCACCAGGTTGGTCTTCAGGCTGAACCTCTTCCCGCAGACGTCGCAGCGATAAGGACCCCGGCCCCGGTGGTTCTGGCGGTGCTTCACCAAACGCTCATACTGCACGAAACTTCTCCCACACTCGGGGCACAGCCAGGCTCTCCCCTCCATGTCTTTCTCCTGGGGAGATTTGGTGGACAGCTCATCTCCAGAGCTCTTGTCGTGCTCGGGGCACTGGTAGGACTTCTGCCCCACGTGAGTCTTCTGGTGAGCAACCAAGGAGATCCACAGGCCAAAGCTGTTGCCACACTGATTGCAGATGAAGGGCTTCTCCGCTCCGGGGGTGGGTGGTGTGGGGGCCGTGCCGTCCCCGAGGACAGGCTGCACCCCCAGGTGCCCCAGGAGGTGTGGGCCGGGGCTGAAGCCTGCAGCGCAGCCAGCAGGAGCCTCGGCGGTGGGGCCATGCTGCGGCCGGAGCAGAGTCACCTTGGGGCAAAACCCCTCCCCACACTGCACGCAGGGGAAGGCCTGCTCCCCTAGATGGGCCTGCTGCGTGGGCAGCAGCTGCTCCTTCGAGGGGAAGCCCTTTTCCGTGCACGAGTACAGCTCCTGGCCTTCGGGGATCTTCTGAACGGGCAGCGGCGGCATGGAGCTGAAAGGAGCCTCCTGCTCCAGGCTGCCTGGCTGCAGCAGTGTGGGTGCAGCCCCGAAGGGTAGGGTGGGAGCCGGACCCCGACCCGGGCACCTCCTCTGGCGTGGGGCGTGCGTCTTCTGGTGGGCTTTGAGGGACACCTTGTCCTTGAAGCACTTCTGGCACTGCCCGCAGGGGTAGGGGCGGACATCAGTGTGGGTGCTCTGGTGCGTCACGAGGTTGGTTTTCTGCGTGAAGCGCTTGCCGCACTGGGTGCAGGCGAAGGGGCGCTCCCCGGTGTGCACGCGGTAGTGCGTCACCAGGTTGGTCTTCTGGTTGAAGCTCCTGCCACACAGGAAGCAGGTGAAGGGCCGCTCGCCCGTGTGGATGCGCCGGTGCGTGATGAGGTTGGGCTTCTGCCGGAAGCTCTTCCCACACTCGGGGCACACAAAGGGGGTGTCGTCCTGGTAGCTGCGCTGCGTAGCCCGCAGCTTCGGTTTGCCGGAGCCACCGTCCTCCTGCTCACCCCCTGCCAGCGCCTTCTCGTTGGCGGCGTGGATGCGCTGGTGGGCCAGGAGGTTGGCCTTCTGGCTGAAGCTCTTGCCGCACTGCGTGCAGGGGAAGGGCCGCTCCCCAGTATGCACACGGCGGTGGGTCAGCAGGTTGGGGCGCTGGCTGAAGCTCTTCCCGCAATCCCCGCACCTGTAGGGTTTCTCCCCGGTGTGGATCCTCTCGTGAGTGATGAGGCTCTGCTTCTGGCGGAAGCCCTTCCCGCACTGGGCGCAGCGGAAGGGGCCATTGCCAAGCTGGGGCACCCAGCAGCCCACCCTGGAGGGCAGCGGGCTGAGGCCGGCCGCGCCGTCCCGCTCCGTGCCTGCCCGCTCGGGAGCGCGCTGCCCGCCATGGAACCAGCGGCTGGAGCTGCTGGCACCGGTGGGGTACAGCTCCAGAGAGCCTGCAGCAACCCCGGGCTTCTCATCAGGCTGCTCCACCTTGTTCGTTCGGACAGGCTCAACTGGATGTCAAAAAGATTCAGAGCATTAACGTCAGTGTCTTTCGCTTGGCTTAAAGCACCCCAATTAACCAGGGGGTTTAGGACCCTTTCCAGAGCCCTATTCCCCCATGGCTTGGTGAGTGCAGTGCTGGCAGACAGCAGTAATGGCAAAAAGAATCCCATTAGCTGGCCTCAAATGGCTGCAAGCAGCTCTCCAACAAGACCATCGTCCCCCACCAAGGCCAATTTCCAGCAGCCCCACTGAGGACACGAGCGACACCTACCTGCACAGGGGCTCACGAGGATCTTGCTGTCCTCCTGCATCTGCTGGCCTTCAGGGAACGGCTCCTCCGACTGTTTAATACCGAACAAGCCACCGGGCTTGAAAAATCTGTAGCCTGGTTGAAGGGATAAGAGCTGGTCACCATGAACTGTCACACTGCAAAACACGCATTTGGCATACGCATCATTATGCTGGAGATGCCTGCGTTAATTCACAAATAAGCTAAAATTAACTAAGCCTCAGGGCATCGCTTTCATCTATTTTAAGCTTCTGCTGCCTGAAGCATAATTAAAGATAAAAAGAAACACAAGCTCCACGCTCCCTCCTCCTGGCAACGTGTGCTCCAGTGAAAGGTGAGAGAGAACACCGTTCCTCGGCGAACAATGTTCTTTCCAAAGTCTTTCACAAATTCGCCCAAGTATCCTTAGATCTTACCTGATGCTTTTATGACAGGATTTCAAAGGCTACCACAAAAATGCAATTAATTACAACAAGAACCTCCCAAACAGAAGAAAAGGCTACATCTGTACAAGAGGAGCCTCGCTGCCAAAGCGGCTGCAGCGCAGGTGGGGGGTTTCCTCCCCGGGTGCCACACTTGCACACATTTATGTATGGTTTCTACTCCCCCCTCTGCTCCTTCCAGCCCTGCTGCAGCCCCTCCACCGACTGCGCTCCAGAGAATGCAAAAACACAGCACCAAACCCACTCCCTTGTGGGTGAGCCCCCACCAGCCCTGAGCCCTCACCTGTGCAGGGGTCAGAGGGGATCTCTGCACCCGCAGAACCCAGTTCATGTCCAGCCCTGGGCACCTCGTTCAGCCTGGGGTAAGGCAGCAGGTTCAGGATGTGGGCAGGCTGCTCCAGGAGAGAGGAGAGGTGTTTCAGCAGCTGGCCATCGCTTTTCTGGTTTGGTTCGGTTTGGTTTTCTCTGTTCTCTGGGTTTTCACCACGCACAGAAGTGCTTGGCAGCATCCCGGCACCCTGAGCGCTTCCTTGGTCTTTCCCTCGTGCAGGAGTCGGGTGCTAGGAGGTTTCACAGGGACCCCATGATATTTCCCACTGTGCCTCTGACTTGTTTCAGCACAACACAGCTTCCCTATCAGCAGAGCATTGCCTGGCACAGATCCTCAAGAGCAGCTTGCTCTGGGCCGATGCCCCGCGCCCGCCGCCCTCCTGACCTGGGGAGATCCACCCAGGCTACCTGCAGCTGTGACCGCTGAGCCCCAATTCCCAACCAACCCAGGGTCAGGACCAGAGGAGGAGACCTCTGTAAGAGCCCAAAGCATCTCTCCTGCAGAGCTCAGCACCCATCCCACCCAACTTCCCTCCCCAGGACTCCTCTCTTCCTCCCTCAGAGCTCTGCGGCAGTTTGGCAGGAACGCAAGGAGAACAGATGGCACAAGGCACCGAGACCAGCCAGCGCTCTGAGGACTGTCACAACTTCGAGAAGTGACAATTTAAAAGGAAAAGTCTTGCACAGGACTAGCAGTGCTTCCTTGGGTTACAGCATTTCTAAACGACAAGAAAAGCAAGAAACCACCAGGGGGGTTTCCAGCCCCCGGGAAACCACCAAAAAGCCACCACCACGGAAGCGCCGCAGCACAAAAGAGGATCAGCAGCTCCGCTCCCCCCCGCAGCGCGCTGCAAGCGGCCCTCAGGGATGGAGCACGCCCCACCACCGCCCCGCCGTACCTGGGGAGCCCCCCCCGCAGACATGGTTCCCCCAGGGCCCAGATGGCACACGGAGGGGACGCAGACTCTCGGGGTGACGCGGGGCGGCGGCTGTCCTCTCCTTCCACCTTCCAGTGCCGGTTTGGAGCTTCCCCAACTTCCTCCAAATGGCTGCGGGTCCCTGCGAGAGCAGAGCAGTGTGAGCGCGGCACGGAGCGGCGCGCAGCGGGAGCGGCTGGGCGGGCGCCTGGACCCTCCTCCTCCTCCGAGCTCTCCGAGGGGAAAGGAAGGAGCCAGCGGCGGGGTCTGGCCTGAGTTCAGAGCCTCTGTTTACAGTGCAGCCTCCCGCAGCCCGTGGTGCTGCTGGGATTTGTAGGCGCGGGGAGGGGGAGGCCGCAGCCGAACGGCCCCGCGGAACGCGGCCATGCCTGGCCGGACTCGCTCTGCTCAGAGCCTGGCACCAATGCTGCGTGCCCCAGCCGCAAGGCATGCCTGGCTGCAAGCTGAGCAGCCTTCATTCCATCTCACGGAGCGATGCTGGTTTTAGGAAAGCCTCAGACAGAAAAAATACATCTGCTTTTGCTGAAGGGCCGCAGGGCTCGCTGCTTCCTCCAGTGGCAGCCCAACACGACACAGTCCCTGAGGACACGGTGACAGCCACAGCGCTCCTACGAGTCCCACATCACTTCACAAAGACTCCAGGGTTCACACGTGTCCCAGCCCTGGCCCGGCTAGCACAGGACACTTGATTCAAAACCGATGCTGTTGATTACGGAACACGAAGGCATCAAAAAACCACTGCAATCTCACAGCCTGGGAAACGTCACGTTTCCAGCCAGCTGCCCAGCATCCAAGGCAACACCACAGTGTCCCCAAGCAGCACCCAGGGCTAGAGCAGAACAACTCTATCACACGTTCAATACTTCCTGGGCCCCACATCTGTGCTGCCTGCGCCCTACAGACATCATGTGGTGAGAAACCCGAGTCCTTGTGAGGCTTTGTGTGAAAACACCACGTGAGCATCCATGAAAATACCATCTTATGAGCAAACAAGAGCATGACTGGAAATAGTGCAAGGTGGGTGTGTGACTTCTCTTCCTGCTCAATGGTTAAACCAATCTTGCCCAGCTCTGCAGGGCCACAATTACTACAAGGAAATACATTCTCTTGAGCCCGAGATGTATTGGGGATGACCTGATAAGCACCTACCCCTAATTAGGAGGGTTATTTGGGGAGATCTGCTGCTGAGAGTACTAGTGCTCAGTGTGAAAGCAGATTGGGCTGTGAGGTGCTTTATGCAGTTTGCTGTAACTAATGGCTCTGGGTCCTTGAGAGCACCCGACTGTGCCACTCAGCTAAGAGCTCAGAAACTCTGTATCCTGTGGGCACTGCCACTCAGACACTGTGACACCACGATACTCTTAACCACATCCATCAGGTATCAACCATCACAAGGGGACCAGCCCAGCAGAGGTGAGTGCAATGGGGGTAGGGGCTGGGATCCCCTTGCTTAGCACTGCTTTGTGGGGCTTCGAGGCCTCTTGGCAAGCCTCTAAGTATCCAGGCAGATGTGTCTGCCTCTCAAAATTAGACTGGATAGCTTCTTAAACTCCAGGTCTATTGATCCCTATACATCACTATGCCTTGTACCAGACCTACCTCCGGGTCTGCACGCCTCTAGGTCTCTTGGCCGGACTGTGGCCTCTCTCCAGGCCTCCAGGCCATCCTCTTGGTTTCACACACCTGCACCCCCTGGCCTCCCTGTGTGCTACCAGCCCTGTTTGGCCCTGAGATCTCCCTTTGGTCTGAAGGCTTTGAGGCCTTTTGTCTGCCTTCCTGCTTTCCCCCTTGCTCTTCAAGCCTCCAGGCCTCAAGGCCCGCGCTCCACGTTGCTTGTAGATGTCTCAGCCTTGGGACAGATGGAGAAGAGAGTTCTGAAGCGTGGCAGAAGTTCCTTCACGACGGCCCCACGGCCGACGCCCGCCTTTCAGCCTCGGTGCCGCGGGGCGGGGGCACCACACGACATCTCCTCAACGCTCCCATCCTCGCGACGCGGCCCTCGGCTGCTCCCCGGGGCGAACGGGACGAGCGACGGGAGCAGGCGAGGCCGGGCCTCATCCCACGGGCGGCCTGCGGAGGGCCCTGGGGCGGCCCGCACCGGGCACGGTCGCTGCCCCCCACCCCGCCCGGAGCCCGGCCACCGCCCCGGCCCCCTCCCGCTCTTCTCAGCGAGGCCTCGCCGCCCCCCGGCGCGCCCCCCTCACCCTGGGCCCGGCCGGGCCCTCGCGTTGCCGTGGCGACGCCCCCCTCCCCCAGGCCCCGGGCCGCCTCCCCGGGGGAACTCACGGCCGCCGGCGTCCCGCGACGCGCTGACGTAGACGCGGCGGTGACGTCAGCGCGGCGGCGACGCCGGGAGGCGCGCGCGCGACTGCGGGGGGGGGAGGATGGGAAGGAAAAGGCGGCCGCTGCTCTCCTGCAGTCTCGCGAGAACGCCTCGCCCCGCACTTCCGGCTCAGCGCGCGTGTCCCGCGGCGGCACTCGTAGGCACGGGGGCGGAAGTAGCGCGCGGCACCATAGACAGCAGAGCGTTGCCAGAGCGCCCGGAAGTGCTACCATAGAATACCGGAAGTGGGCCAGAGCGTCCCACTCTCCCTCCCCCTCCCGATTGCCCACTACCAATGGGAGGTTTAGTTTGTTTTGGGGGATCCCGGGGGTTCGGATGAGCTTCAATCAGGGACCAGCGGTCGCCCTTATCAACCTGAGCCGCCTGTTGGTGGTTTTACCAGCCGTTCTGATCCCACAGCTCCCACGCCACCCCTCAGGTGTCCGCCTCGCCCCAAGGCAGCGCGCAGGATCCCCCCTCGGCTCTCTTCGTTTATTTCTGTAGGGAGCTCTGTGCGCTTACACGCATAAAGGAGGGGTTGGAGGAGTTACACTGGGGTTGCAAAGTCAAGGAGTGCAGGAGCGGGCATCCAAGCTGCTCCAGGTGCAGTTTGTGTGTTTCTTTTGATGTTTACCCTCAGGGAATCCATCTCTGCAGCTCCTCACGCCTCCCATGGCGCTGCCTTTGTCCTGGTGCAATGAACCCACGAGTCAATCCCTTCTGCTGCCTCACAAGCACCAGATCCTGTCCCTCTCTGGGCCGAAGGTTTGTTGTTCCAAGCTCAGAGATGCCCTCTGTCCCTCCGTTTAAAGCAAGGTCCAGAGCTCCTGGAGCACTTAATTGCACGTATCTGTGCACGGGAGGAAGAAGCCTTGCCAAAGACAAGAGATGCTCAGTATTTGGTCACCAGCCGTGTGCATCTGATCGCCTTCTCCAGTCAAATTTGTAGGATATGGTTTCCCATGCGTGACTTCAGAAGGACCAACCCGTTCCCTAAGTCTGGGGGTTGTTTCAGTTCTCAGCAATGCCAAAAGGAGAATTTCCACCTGTTTCAAATGTTTTTCTTGATGCAGTTTTCCAGTCTGCCTTTTTAATGTTTGGTTCCTTCTTTCTACCTGACCCCTCGACCGCTGTCTCCATGGTGTGTGAGTCCCACTTCATTTGCAGGAGCCCAGCTATTCCTTGGGTGATTTCTGCTAGGAAATGAGGTCCTCTATCTGATGGCAGTCCTCCTGGAATGCCAAACACTGCAATAGTTATTTCTTTCAGTCAAACTCTGAGTATTTCTCATGCTTTGTTGGTTCAGCACAAGAGTGCCTCAAAGCACCCAGAAAGGAGTCAGCCAGTGCTGATATTTACACTCATCACACTTCAGTAATTCACAAAACAAATCCATTTGCCAAGATTCCCCGCATACAGAACCTCTTTTTAACTCAACTGGGGAAGATCTACCCTTAATTTTAGGGTTATAAGACAAATCCTGTGCCTCTGGACAATGCTTTTAGCAGTCCATAGCATTGATTCCTACAGCATGTCTTCCTCCTGCTTCAGCACGAGCTTCTGTCCCCATACGAGCACTCTCGGGTGTCCTTTCCATTTACTCTCTCACTGTTGGTCACTACTCACTGCCCATGAGGTGCTGCCCACCATTCAGCTGTTGTAGCACACCTCAAGAGCTCTGATGGCAGCTCTGCCAACTCACCCCGTGCTTTCATACAAACAGGAGTCCTAATACTTTGGAACGCCTCAGGAAGCGAGGCTCCTCGTTACTGACAGTGTCGTTTCCTTGGCAGCTTCATCTGCTCCTCTCTTCCCTTTGATGACTTCGTTGTGTTGGACCGGTGGGCCTTGCAGTGAAAAACCACCACTTGGTTGATAATTGCATCAATCAATCCCATAATTTCTGCGCTGTCCTGTGTAGGATTGCCTTGAGATGACAGTAACCCACTTTTTTCCCCTATATCTTCACGCTCACAGCAGTGCCAGGTTTAGAATGCTCAGCACTTGTGCCGCCACATCATTACAGTAGCCGCATCTTGTTCTTATCATAAGTTGTCTGAGGTCTAACTTGCTCAACCAATTCCATCCCATGAGTGGTGAAGGGCATTCTGGCATATGCAAAAACTCACACACTCAACCTCTGGCTTTGCCATGGCCCCAACTGCCAGCACAGAATACTTCAATGTCCTCCAACGCTTTACAACAGGAGAAGCAGCTCTGGTATCTGCTCAGAAGGCAATAACTGAATTCCCTGAGACCTCAAGATGTTCCTATTGTTCCTCAGCTTGTGGCTTGCATTCCAGCAGCCTGGCTCCATTCTGCTGCTCTTTGGTTTCTCTCTTCGTTCCTTCCCTGCTTCCCACTGTTATTTACCCCCCAGACCATCTCACTCCGTTGTGAAGCAGACACCCCCAAAATCCCATCAGCTTTCTGCAATCTCCCAGATTTCAGGGCCAACTGCCCCCAGTGAACAACGCATCCAACAACAGAGTTTTATTCCCTTTCCCTTCCAGATGGAGGTCGGCTCCTTGGCTGGGCCCTGCTGTCACCTGCTGTGATTCGGAGCTGTTCAGGTACCCCATGTTGTCCCCATGTATTATTAAGTATTGCTGCTGTTTCATCGTTAGCCCCCAGGCTCCTTTCCACCGATTCCCATCTCGTCCCCATTCTGTATCACAAAGAAATCAACGTGCTGAATGTCATCCCGCTCATCTACACAACAGCAGTGTGACGTGAATCACAGCATTGCATTATAGTTCCCATTTCAGCCTCCATCCCCCACTTCATCCACTGCCCAGCGCTGCAGACAATAGCACCCGCCTTCAAAGACACCTTCAGTCGTGTTGTGATTCAGACTTCCTCCACTTCATCACTTTGGCAGCTTTGAGGGTGGTTGTCCTCACCTGCATAGAAGCACACATTGCTGTGTGTGAGGTTACACGTATGAGGAGTTGACTGAAGATCAGTCCTTGGCTGGCAATGCCATGAGGTTCCCCCCCTCAGCCTCTTCTGGGTCTTAACTTCATTAAAACAAGGCTTTCGTGGTTTGTTTTCTATCACAGCAGTGGTTAAAACAAGTCAGCCAATTAATTTCCTTATAGTCCAGCTGCCTGCACAGTGGCACGCTTCTCTGGGGTGAAGGATGCAGGCAGAAGGCATGAGGTCCTGTGCTGCTCCTGGATTTCCCTGCTTGCCTTTTGTCCTCAGAGAGCAGAGGAGGGGTCCGTCAGGTTGGCACTGAGCTGCTCTGGAGCTATTTGGACACTGTGCATGGTGTAACTCCTGCGTTGCCCTGTCTGGAGCCAGGTTGGACTCCATGCTGGACCCAGTGATGCTGCTGGGTCCTGCAACCCTACCCCATCCCCACAGCCCCCCATGGGTGTTCTCTGATGGGTTTATGGCCTTGTACTGTGATGCCCCATCCCTTCAGGCATCCAAGGCCAGGCTGGACGTGGCTCTGGGCAGCCTGGCCTGGTGCTTGGCGACCCTGCACGCAGCAGGAGGTTGGAACTGGATGATCTTTGAGGTCCTTTTCAACCCAGGCCACTCTATGATTCTGCTGCGATGCCCAACCTGCACACAGTGCTGGAAGAAAGCACTGCTGGCTCGGAGACAAACCCAGCCCTTTCAATCCAGAAAAAACTCTATGGAAAGCAGCCAAAAGCGGAGAAAAAACTGTAAACCGTGGGACTGCTCCGAATGGCAGAACCCAGAAAGCGCCCCAGAAGTGCCAACTCTGTGCGCTGCTGCTTGCAGGGCTCCTGGGAGCGGGGGGCTTTGGGCTGTTGTTTGCCGTCCCATCCCCACCGTGGGGCTCAGGCTGGGGGCCCCCAGCAGCCCCAGGGCCTTCGCTGCAGTGCTGCCCGAGGACAGATCTGCGCCCTGGCTCTGCTCCCCTTCACCTCTCCCCACTTCTGGGCTTTGCCGTGCTGGGGACGGAGCTGACGCCGCCGCTGGGGTCAAGGCTGCCGCCATCCATCCCCGCGCGCCTCTGGCCACCGCTGCGGCCCCTCCTCTGCGGGGGCTGCGCAGGGCCGTCCGATGGGCGGAAAGGGGCAGTTCCCAGGAAATTGGTTAATGAGAGACCAAAATCAACAAGCGGTGGTGGGCAGCAGGCCGGCGGGGCTGCGCGGCGGGGATGAAGCGGCTGCTGGGCATCGCCGTGGTCGTGCTGGCGTTGGCGGCGGCTGGGCAGAGCCCGCTGCAGCGGCGCGTGGTGAAGGACGTGCTGGACTACTTCCACAGCCGCAGCAACGTCCAGCAGCTCTTTAGGGAGCAGTCGGTGGAAGGGGCCGTCGAGAGAGTGAGTGCTGGGGAGGCACGGGGGCCCTCATGCAGGGTGGCTGTGGAATTGTGTGGGGCGAGGGGCGAGCTGCCACCGAGTGGGGGGACAGGGGTGGCGTGGTGTCACTGCCGGGGATGCAGAGCACCACGGGTCTCCGGTGGGCTGGCACAGTGGTGCCTGCTGGCACGGCGTGGGGCTCAGCTACTCATTAACCGCACTGTGGTAGGACTGAACAGCGCCTGGTGCCCCGCTGTCCCCTGGCAGGACACGGCGTCCCGTTCCTGTCCTCTCCCCAGCAGGCAGCTGAGGGCTGCAGGGTGGGTTTTTACTGAGGGTTGGGAGCCTCACTGTGGAGCCCGGGGTTACTTTTTGGGCCTGGGGTCACTTTTGGGGGCTGGGGTCCCTCTATTCCTACTCCTGGTCCTGCTGGCACACTGGGGCCGGGTTTGGTGCCATCTCATCCTTGCCCATCCCAAGGCACTGCAGCAGCTCCTCACTCCATGGGCACCCCAATAATCCTGTGATGAGCTCTGGTGAACCAGGCACAGCCCACAGCCCATCCCCCCACACCTCTCATGGCACATCTCCCCTGCACCAGGTGGACTCATCAGGGACATTCATTCAGCTGCGCCTTAACCTTGCACAGACGGCATGCAGGAAGCAGACACAGAAGAGACAGAACTGCAGGATCATGGAGAACAGGGTGAGGTGGGGGCTGCACCCCTCGAGCCAGCGCCCCATCTCCAGACATGGGGACAGGGTGGTTTCACCCCTTCTCCCTCCCTCCTGCCCTGTTGCCATGTGCCCATCCTGTCCAGCACGGCTGCTGGTGCTGGGGGTGATGAGAAAGCCATGCTGCAGGGCTGTGGGGGATGTCCCCAGGGCTGGTGGTGGGGTCTGGGTGCTGGCACCGGTGGCAATGGCCGTGTTGTCTCCGCAGAGAAAGCCAGTCTGCTTGGCCTGCTACAAGTTTGACAACAGCGATGTCCCAAAGGTGCTGGACAAGTACTACAACTGTGGCCCCAGCCACCACTTGGCTGTGAAGGTGAGCTCTCCCCAGGGGGGGCTCAGCTCTGAGATGTGCTCTGGGAGCCCACAGTGATGCCAGCGCCTGTGCTCTGCCCTGCAGGAGATCAGGCAACGTGATGAAGCTGAGTGCAGGGCTGTGGAGGAGGCCGGCAAGGTGAGCGATGCCCTCTATCTGCCTGGCATGTTTGCTTTCTCCAAGGGGCTGCCAGCATAGGTGCCCACGCATGGTAAGTCCCACCTGGAACGTTCCTCTGGGTGAGCACGGGGAGCTGCAGGCAGCGGGCTCCTCCTGCAAACAGCCCTCAGCACCCCCTGTCCCCTCTTTGCAGTCCTGCAGCCACCACATCCCCAGCCCAGGAGGAGGATGCTGACACGGGGCCCCCAGCCCCCAGCTTGCTGCCCCTCAGCGCTGTGCAGAGAAGGGAAGGTCGTCCCGCAATGCCCCCCAGCTCCTGGCAGTGTCTGCATGCACCATTAAACCCCAGCTCTGCCTCTGTTTCTCTGCTTCATTCCTACCCAGGATCTCTGTGTGCGGGGCAATGGGGTGGGCTGTGCCACCCTCATTCGGAGCCACGCTCCGCTCTGTGGGCACACCGGTGGGCTCGGGAGGAGGGATGGGGACGCTCAGCGTCGGCGCAAAGCAGCGGAGACCTCAGGGACGGCACATTTACTGCACAGCTGCTCCCCGGCAGCAGGACCCCGTGACTCCCCTCAGTCCCCACGCGCAGCCCCCAGGTCCGCATCCCTCTTTGCAGGACGGTTGCCTGGGGTCAGTTCCAAAACCCGCCAGCGTTGGCGCCAAGGCAGGAGTCCGTTCCCCACATCCCAGGTCCCCGTGGAGCCCCCGAGCCGGGAGCCCGCAGAACGGGAACGGAGCGGAACGGCCGCCTCGATGGCTTCGGGCCGCTCAGAAGACGTAGGATCCGGGGTCGGCGCGCCCGCTCAGCGCCCGCTCAGCCTGCGCGATGGTGTCATCGGCTCTCCTGCCCAACTCGCGGCACTCCCGCAGCGCCTCGCCGAACTGCCGGTACGCCTCCTCCACGATGGAGCTGCGGCGCAGCGGCGGCGGCTCCCAGAAGCCCGCCCGCACCCAGGGTTGAGCGGCGCGCGGCGGCGCGGGGCCGGGGCCGCGTCCCAGGGAGCTGTCGAGGTCGCGGCACAGCTGGAAGAGCTCGCTGCCTCGCCCCGACACGCGCTCGCCGTCGACGTCCCGCAGGCCGGGCAGCAGCTCGGGCAGCGCGGTGCGGTAGGCGGCGGTGGCGCAGACGGGGTTGCTGAGCTGGCCCAGCGCGTCGCGCAGCCGAAGGCTCTCCAAGCGCCGCAAGCCGGCCAGGCAGCGCAGCTGCTGCAGGCTGCTCACCTGGTTGCCCGCCAGGTTGAGGCTCTGCAGGCTCTCGCAGGAGCCCAGCGGCTCCAGGCTGGAGATGCGGTTGCGCGAGAGGTTGAGGACGGCCAAGGCTTTGAGGCCGGCCAGGGGGCCCAGCTGCGAGATGGCGTTGCCAGAGAGGTCGAGCCACTCCAGGTTGGTGCAGTCGCCCAGGCAGCCCAGGTCGGCGATGCCGCGGCCGCGCAGCTTCAGCAGCAGGATGGACTCCAGAGCAAACTCCCCGGTGCTGGCCTTCAGCAGCTGAGCCGTGATGCGCGCGCCGTCGCCCTCCTCGCCCTTCTCTGCCCGTGTCTCCATGTCGGGTTGTGGGGATCCGCACCAGCACTGCGCCAGCGCAGCTCTGCGGGGACACCGGGGGAGGCTGCTCAGAGACGGGCACAGTGGGATGGGAGCGATGCTCACAGATGGATGCTCAGGGATCGACACTCGGGGATGGACGCCTGGGGGTGGATGCTCAGAGATGGATGCTCAGAGATGGATGCTCGGGGAGGGACGCTCAGAGATGGACATTCTGGGATGGACGCTTGGGGACGGATGCCCACAGATGGATGCTCAGGGATGGACAGTCAGGGATGGATGCCCCGGGAGAGGTGCGAGGGTTGCTCAGGGCTGCTGGGACCCCCGTGTGCACGCACAGATCGCCCCCCCCCCCCGGGCTCCTCCCCCTCTCGGGTGCCCCCGTTTCTCACCCCCCCCCTCTACCCCCACACAACGAACGGCGGCTCCCGGCGGCCCCTCGGCTCCGCCTCCCGTTGTCACGGCGACCAGCGGGCGGAGCGAACGGCACACAGCGGCGTAGCGCCAGCGGGGGGGGCGGGGGGGGGGGGGGAGGACAGACAGACAGAGGGGGGACAGTTGGGTGGATGGAAGGGAGGGAAGGAAAACGGGTGCCTGGATAGACAGACAGTTGGACAGATGGGTATAGATGGGGACGGATGGTACAGATGGATAGATGGGATGCGTGGACAGATAGATGGGACACACAGAAGGAGGGGGAGATGGGGAGATGGGTGGAGGGATGGATGGTGGATGCGTGCATGCATGCATGGGTGGAAGAGGAGTGAAGGGATGTTGGATGGATGGGACAGAGGAAGGAAGGGAGAAGCAGACAGGCAGGCAGGCAGAGGAGTAGGACAGAGGGTGGTTGGTGTCCTCCAGCTCCCACAGCTCTCGCTGGCTGGGCACAGCAGGTGGGGCAATCAGGCACTGCTCCCAGGGAACAGCCCCAGGCCCACAGCAGTGCAGCAGTGCTGCGGTGCTACCGGGGCTGCTCCCATGGCACTGCGCAACCGGGGGGGCCACAGCCCTGCAGCAGTTGGAGCTGAAGTCCCTGCACTACAACTGTGCCCACGGCTTCACCACCATCAGAGTCCCTGGTCACGTCTCCGCGTCACAGCTGTGCACAGACTCACCTTCACTGATGTCCCAGTGGTGTCTCCGGTCCCCAGGCTCACCGGAGGCGATGTCCTTGGTCACGTCCCCATGCCACAGCCATGCATGTAGCCTTCTCATGACAAGTGTCCCTGGAGATGCCCGTCCCACAGCCGTGCCCACAGTCTCGTCGTTTCCAGTGTCCCTGGTCCCATCATCATGCCACAGCTGCACCCACAGCTTTGCCATCACCAGCGTCCCTGGTCACATTGCTGAGCTCCCACCTCACTCTAACTGGCATAGCCAGTGATGTCCCTGCTCCCAAGCTCAGCAGGCATGTTGCAGAGCCCCAGGCGCAGTGCCTGCATACCCAGGACATCCCCTGGCTCCAGCTCAGTGCAGATTCCAGGGCCAGCCCCTCATGTCCCCTCTGCCCCCAAGCGACCACTCCAGTCCCCCATTACCGGCAGCCCCACACTGTGGCCCCTCTGCACTTCCCTTCCCCCGGGGGCTGCACCCATCCTGGGACCGGAAGGTGCCCGGTGCCAAGGGAAGGGCGGCAGCAAGCACAGCCCCGGCCCCCTCCCTTCCGTGGCCACCGGCCCCCCGGCATCAAAACGCAATAACAGGAAACGCAGCCGGGAGCCCCACAGCCCTGCAGAGGAGATAAACCGGAGTCCAGGGGCTGCAGAGCTGGGCCACCAGCCACAGCCGCACCAGGGGCTCCACAGGCAGTGAAGCATGGAGCGGGGCCTCATCCTGCGCCCGGGGGCTGCGTCCTGCTCCGCCCCGTGCCAATAAAGCCCAATTCTACGTGTGCTCCTGCACAGCTCCTGCTCGCGGTTCCACAAGCAAACAAGCGCGGATTCAGCTCAGCGCACCGCACAACGTGGGGAAAACAGCCCTCGGGCACACAGCCGCTGCTGCACCACCAGCAGCCAGGGGGCCTTTGGGACCCCACACAGCCCCCGGAGTCTGCCCTGGGGACGCTGCGTCCCGGCTGCCCCACAGCACCAACACTGCTCAGCCCCCGTTCTCTGTGCCACCCCCTCCCCGTGCAGCTGTCCCTCCGGCGCGATGTCCCCAAGGAAAACTTGGCAAAGGGCATTTTATTGGCATTTAGGACTGGTTCCTGCCACAGTGGAGCCAGCCGTGCCCGGGCAGGGTGGGAGCCCACAAGAGCCACCAGCGGTGCTGCATTCAGGGCGCTGGAGCCACTGAGCTGCACCCCACATGGAGACGGGCTGCAGCGGCACCGAGCCCACACCCAGCATGCAGGGAAAAGGCGGCTGAGAGCATCGCTGTGCCTGGAAGGAGCTGCCACCTTCCACCGTGCCACAGGAGCACATCAGCTCTGTCCCCACCTGTGCCACGACACAACACAGCTCCTGGGGTCCACGGTGGGCGGCAGCACCAACAGCGCTCATCCCATGCCGAGCTGCCAGATCCCTCACCCGCCTGTGGTGCTGGTGCAGGATGGCGCTCAGGGGCAGAGCGTGGCGGGAGCCGGTGCCGGTGCCACCCAGCCCTGCTGTGGCGCAGGCGCGGTGCTGTGGGTGCGCTCGTGGCGCAGCAGGTGGGTTTTGCGGCTGAAGCTCTTGCCACACTGGGTGCAGATGTAGGGCCGGTGGCCGGTGTGCACGGCCTGGTGCCGCACCAGGTTGGTCTTGGAGCTGAAGCGCTTGGCGCACTGGGAGCAGCCGTAGGGCCGCGTGCCGGTGTGCACCGCCTGGTGCCGCGCCAGGTGGGACTTGCGGCTGAAGCCGCGACCGCACTGCTCGCAGGTGAAGGGGCGCGCGCCGGCGTGCGCCTTGGTGTGGGCAATGAGGTTGGGCCGGGAGCTGAAGCAGCGCCCGCACTGCGGGCAGGCAAAGGGCCGCTCGCCCGTGTGCACGCGCAGGTGCCGCAGCAGGTGCTGGTTGTGGGCGAAGCCGCGGCCGCAGTCGGGGCAGGCGAAGGGCCGCTCGCCCGTGTGCGTGCGCTGGTGCGTGGCCAGGTTGGGCTTGTGGCTGAAGGTCTTGTCGCAGTGCGGGCAGGCGTACGGCTTCAGCCCCATGTGCCCGCGCAGGTGCGCCGTCAGGTGCCGCTTGTCGCTGAAGCCGCGGCCGCACTCGGCGCAGGCAAAGGGCCGCCCCTCCAGGTGCAGCCGGCGGTGCGACGTCAGGTTCTTCTTCCAGCTGAAGCTCTTCCCGCACTCGGGGCAGGGGAAGGGCTTCTCGTCGGCGGGCGGCTCGGCGTCGGCGTCGGCATCGGCTTCGGTGGGCGGCTCGGCGTGCAGGCGTTGGTGCCGCAGCAGGTGCTGCTTGTGGGCAAAGCCGCGGCCGCAGAGCGCACAGGCGAAGGGCCGCTCGCCTGTGTGGGTGCGCAGGTGCCGCACCAGGTGCGTCTTCTTGCGGAAGCGCCGCCCGCACTCGGAGCAGGGGAACGGCCGCTCGCCCGTGTGCGTCTTCTGGTGCGAGCGCAGGTGGATCTTCTGGCGGAAGCGGCGGCCGCACTGCGTGCAGGGATAGGGCCGCTCGCCCGTGTGCACCCGCAGGTGCCGCGTCAGGTGCGCCTTCTTGCCGAAGCCCTTCCCGCACTGCGCGCAGGCGAAGGGCCGCGGCGGGGCGGGGGCCGGGGGCTCGCACTGCCCGCACTGCGCCGCGCAGCAGCAGTGTTGGCAGGCGCCGGCCGGACCCTCGCCCAGCAGCGGCCACGCGAAGGCGGGCAGCGTGCCGTAGCCCAGCTCCCCCGGCTCTTCCGGCAGCTCCGGCTCCTCCATCGGCTCCGGCTTGCAGGCGCTGCCTGGGGGCTGCCCCGCCAACAGGGCCTCAGCGCCCAGCCCGGCCGCCCACTCCTCATCCTCTTCCTCCACCTTCACCTTCCGTACCAGCCAGTCCTCTGTGGGCACAGAGCGCTGCCGGTGTGCCCCACACCAAGGAAAGGTGGCACCACCACGGGTGCCAAGCGGCCGTCACCGCGACCAGCTCGTCAGCCACGCTGTGCCGTGTGCCGACACATCCCCTCACCTGAGCAGCTGAGCTCGGGCCCCTGAGTGGCACCCGTGGCACCACCGCCATCGGCATCGCCCTCGGGCAGCACCTCCTCCTTGGGCACCAGCAGCCTCGCTGGGGGATACACGGTAAAGCTGAGTGCCGTGCGCTGCCCCGGCCCCACACAGCCCGGTGAGGGACGGGCGCTCACCCACAGCCCTGGCACCCACCTGAGCCGGCACATCCAGGTGCCTCGCCGTCCTCCAGCTGTGCCCCAGCACACGGCTCCTCCGCCTGCGGCACCGGCTCCGGTTTGGCGATGGGAACGCCTGCACAGGACGGGGCTGAGCTGAGCCACGGGAAACCAGCGGGACCAGCACCATGACCAGGGTCGGGGCCGTCGCCCTGCTGAGCCGCCGAGTGCGGGGCACGGGAGCACAGCCCGCAGCGGGCAGCAGAGCCTTACCCAGGGCCAGCAGGGCGTCGAAGTTCTCCCTCATGGTGCTGCCGTCGGCCTCACAGCAGGGGGGCTGCAAGGGAGGCGGGGGGGGGGGGGGCGCGAGGGGGGGGGGGCCAACGGGAAACACACAGCTCGGAACCCCCCAGCCTGGATCTCGGACGCCACCCGCCGCCCACCGCCTCCCCCTGCCTCCTGTCACCCCACGTCCCGCACAGCCCCCCCCCGTCCCTCCCACCCCCCGC